ACGGATTGCGCTACTAATTGGTAGCGGTACCGGAAATCATGTTATTATATTGCAGTAATTAATATAATTGATGCTTGAGATACGTGTTAGTGTAGATAATCCACGCATATAAAACATTCAGTAGAACAGTCTCCATTGACGAAATGTGCGCAATGAGGTTATTTGCATTTTTACTTTACCAAATATTTGTCATACGTACGTATTCACTCCGATTAACGATCATAGAGCCGAGTGAGTTGATGCCAGACACTTTTAAAGAGGATAAACAATTCGACTCGCGACATGGGTATAGGGAAAATGTCCTGTGCGCACACAAGTGTATGCTTGATGCCGATACCTGTGCCGGTGTTAGCTACTCGCGTTTCTTGGAAACATGTGTTCTCCATCGAGCTTTCTATTCAGAAAGCGTTATGTCTGTGCCTGGATGGGGTTTTTTTGAAGGTGACCTTTTGAAATCAGCGACTTATGGAATGGTAAGTCAATTTGTTGACGAAATGAGGGGAGGAGGGGGTAAATTGCTAAAGTCCCATGGTAGATTTCGCCACAGGTTGTTTAGTTGGATTTAGGGCGTACTTTACTACGTAATATGCATGGAAGTAGCTTTTCTGTGACTTACTCTATTTCAACGCCATTATTTACAATTCATTGTGAAACAAAATGCATCTTTTATATGCATCTTTCAATTATTATTTTTTCAAGTTAAATTATATCAAAAAGATATCTCATTTGATACATATTTTGATAATAATAATCACATACACATTATGGGGAAAAAACTACAGGTTCGTAGCACATTAATGCGCACGCGAGATCCATTAATAATACCATTGTATATTTGTCTCACACAGGATTTAGGAGCGACTTCGGCTTGTACAAGTTTGCCGTGTAAACACAATTCGTGGTGCACGGCACCAGACGAGCAGCAGTATGTATGCACATGCCGAGTAGAAGAAATGTATGGAGGCGATACGTGTGAAACATATGTTGCAGGTTTGTTAAGTTGTGACGTTACATCGTTGTTATTAGGAGGGTAGCGTATTTAACGCAATTGTGGAATCGTCTCTCTTCATTGAGCTGATGAAGAAAATTTAATCCTGTTTTATTTGGTAATTACACGTTCTACGAACAATGGGATGCAAATATATAGAAGTATAATTGTTGCAGTTTGGTTGGGTTGCAAAATAAATATAATTGATTATTCTTTTTATTGTTGTTAGAACCTACCCCGACTATCACGATGCAAAACTGGCAACCATGGTCATCGGATTGCACGGCACAGTGCGACGGCGGCAGACACGTTCGTGTAAGGTCATGTGTTCCCGAGTCGCTACATTGCAACGACATAGAGTACAAGGAATGCAACACACAGCCGTGTCCAGGTGTGTTCTTGTTCTTTCGTTTGACTAAGTTCTTGCGATAAATATTTCTATCATTTTTTTTGCGTCGGTGTAACGAGTTTTGGGTATACATCATCAATATCGTATGAAATAGATGGTGCAGTATTTGTAGAATTTCTTATTACAGATTGCATCAAAACAAACGTACGATCCCGTAAACACGTAACTACTTTTCTAATATTCCAATCAACAATTAAACCTGCTTTATTTCAGTTCGTTAATGATGAAGCTTAATTGACTAGACGCTGCTTTAAATGTTTAATCGTAGGAAATGCCGTCAAATAATATAGGGTTACATTTATTTACATGTTTAACAGTTTGGAGTCGCTGGTCTGAAACAACATATTCACTATCCACAATGACTGGTACCAGACAACGAGTATGTTTATATAACGGTCTGGCAGGTATCAGCCCTGGATGCGAAGGCCAGAATACTGAAACTGTAGACTATCGGCAAAGTAAGTAGCTGTTTTTGTATTAGGAGATTACTGTGGCTTCGCGAAAAGCGTTTCTGGGTTCTTTTGGCGTCGCAGCGAGTTGGAATTGTGTATTGAATGTTTACAGATATTGTAATTTGCCTGCAATCGTTACCTTATTTTCAAAACAAACGACCTGACGAAATAGCTCCACTCTCCTACAAGGCAGTAGCCACGCCGAGCAATGCACACCTATAATAATTCTTCTTGACTACTTTGATCAAAGATACAATTGAGCTGATAGTTTTCAAGAAGTCGGAAATAGCATCTTTTACCAAAAATATTCGCCAAAAACAGAGAATTGAAGATATCGTCACAAAATGAACAAATCTGACAGGGGCCCACCCAAGATACCTCTATACCAAGTATCGAAGCAATTGAGCTGGTAGTTTTCAAGAAGAAGTCGAAAATACAATTGTTGACGGACGACAGACGGACGACGACGGACACTCACCGAAAATGAACAGCTCCGCTCTGTCATCTAAAAAACACTCAATCGACAATGCTTGTCACGATTGTCACAGTGTGTGATTTCCTTAATGGTGTGAAAACAAGCAATTTGAAACAAAAAAAGATCAAAACTGCCCATTAATTTACATATCCGAAATATGCATCCATGTTTTGCGAGCACATCATTCTGTTAATAATGGCATTGCATCTGACACTCAATTCAAATTACGAACAATATGTTGCTCTAAATAAAATTTCGAAAAATAAATGATCGTCTTTAAAGCCTCCAATGAATGAATCGACGGAATACAAACTAGAAAATAATTATTCACTGTCACATCCTCGTTCAATATCATAACAAATTCCAAGTATTTTTTTCGATAAATTATTCTAAGATTGAAATAACCTTCATAAATTGGTCATTGTGAAATTAAAAACCCCAACCTTCCGATGGAACTCTTTATATACTAAGAATGTAAGAGCGAGGTCGGGTGAAATTGGTGTGCACAAATAGCCATTGCGGAATTATTACAAAACGATGAAATGAACCACCAGATACATTATGACCAATCAATCTATGAAACGACGTTGATGACAATAAATTATACTGCAGTGTAGTTGTTCTGTTTTGCTATAATTATTGTCAGTCGTTTGTTTGTGCTCTGAAACTTGTAGAAATGTCTACAGTTATGTGTGTTTTTTCGACTTTATAAGCAAGGGCGTGTGTAAATCTCTCTGCCGATCACTAGCTTCAACTAATATAGCTCGGGATATTAGTATGGCGGCTTATTGAGTACATTCAGCAATTTCCCTGTTGAATTGGAGAGATGCAATACATTCTATGACCACCACGGCGATTGCCGCTAATGTTACTAGCCTGGACGCTGTTCTAGTACGACCCCGTCTCCCGTTCCACCCTGCTTGCTATCATGCTGATTCATACACACTATATAATCCATCAATGTGTTTATTTTTGGATTAATTACTCTTCCAGGCAATTAGTTAACGTTCTCTACAGTAGAATTGCTATAAATGTAACTCAAATGACAAAATTAATAATATTTTCATGGGTACAGCAATGAGGATATAATATGTATTTCTTTTGCAATTGCGATGCGAGAGTTCTGCTAATGCGAGCTATCACGTAGGTTTAGCCTAGTCGACAAAGCTACACAATAAGTGAATGTCAGTTATTGCCTACAGCAGTGTTTAACATATGTTGCGTTATGGCTGCTGACAAAGTCTCATTATTTGCTTTTTCCTCACTAGAAAATCAAGCGATCGTATTCCATAGAAGACACGGAAACACGATTAAATATATATGCATTTTAACACCATATTTTCTTATATCGAGAAATGTTTCGCAGTGTTTGTTAAGTGTTGCTTTGTCATTTGATGTGAATAATCAGGATACAAAAAGTTGGGATAATTTGTTAATAATCAGAATTATCGAAATCTATTGTATTCTCATTATCAAGTACTGTTTCTAAACTCTTCAAGTTCCCATAAGACTCGGTGGATCCACTGATATCGGGAAAGGCCGCGTTGAAATCTTTAACTACGAAATCGGGAATTGGGGAACAATTAGTGACAGTGGTACGTGGAAACTGGCTGCAGCTGAGGTTGTATGCAGACAGCTAGGATTTGCCTCTGCATTTTCGGGTAAGTCTTCATGTGACCATCAAGAATCGCATCGCAATCACTGAGTATGTTATTTGTTGTCTTGCAGTAGTGTATAGTTTATAGATCTGGTCGAGTGTGTAATCAAGTGAGGTTTCTGTGGTAAATAACCACTATGACGTGGCATACTCTAAAACGTGCCTAAATATACAAAATGTGAAGGAAAAAAAGAAAATTATTATTATCGGGGTCTGAATCATTGCAACGGAATGCAGTTAGTATTTATCGTTACTCAGTGGCTGTCTGCCAGTAACGAACTACTTGTCTATCTACGCCTGAACCCGTTGGTGCATTCATTGATTTAGCACAATGCAGAGTCCAGAAGTATAAACAAATGAGTTCTGGATATTACACACGTCGATATGTTAATGACAGTTTGGGGCATCCAAAGCGCTTAGATTCAAACTCGCGCGTCACCGTTTTATAGTGCGTCACACTTTAATTGCCATGACGATTCCAACAAATTGACGTCAGTGAATAATTTGTCAACATTCAAAATAAGACAAACTTCGAATATGCTGAATAAATCTCTATCAATCTATATCGTCTTACGACGGATTTTACGGTTCTCGGTCGGCTTACAAAGACCGTATTCAGGCCATTACGATAAACATATTTTTGATTCGATTTGACTTTTTTGCATATTTGATGATTAGCTTGGTATTTTGTTAGGGTTAGAGAATGCTGACATGTCAGGTTTGTAGCTTCACCGCTAACTGGCATTATTGTATCCTTCCATGCCATTTACCCATCTATTTCAATGATCCCACTCTGACACTTGTATGACTACTATATACACAGTCACCTGGCGTATTCATCATAATAAATTAAATGCGATGTGGGGCCGCCATCTTTAATGCGGCATAATAACTAAATAAATAGAGAAGTTGAGAAACGCGTTTTTCATCAGATTTCTACAAATCAGGATGACTTATCAAACTTTCACACCCAAACGATGTGTTTGAGCAACATTATGCCGGCCGCTAACAAAATTCGGCCAAATTTGTTGTTTTTATGTAGAAAAATCCCTTGCATACGAACACATAATTACACGAAGAAGATAGAACACACCCAGGTTTTTCTAAAACCATAATTGTCATCCCACTCACGAGCCAATCGGTGATGGCCTTAGATGACGATTTTGGTTTCAAATACCCTTGGAAAGTGTTCTATGATCTTTGTGTGATTAGGTATGCAAGGGATTTTTCCACACAAAAACGACGAATTCGGTCGAATTGTGTTAGCGGTTGGCGTAATGTCACCTCAACGGGTCGTTTAGGTGTGAAAATTGTATATCTCAACTTGTCTCAAGACGCATTAAAGATCGCAGCCTCCATCTATTAAATATTGGTAAATTAATCACTTTTATTTCATTATCATGCGTACATCAGCTGACATGGCTATTATGTACAATTGTAAGCCTCCGTCTGTTGTATTGCAGATGTGGCGTCACACGATGCGACTCCGGATTTAACACCTGTAGTAAGCGGTGTAACATGTACTGGGAGTGAGTCAGCACTTGCTTTCTGTAGTTATGACTCGTGGGGAAGCATAGATTCCTCATTTTATGGACAGGATGTTGGAGTAACATGCACTGTTGGTAAGCTGCTTAATGAAGCACGTTCAAATCAAATGAAACGAATGTTTGAATCAAATACATAATATTGAGCTCATAAATGACATTGCATGCAGTATTAATCTTCTATATTCCCTGTAATATTCGGGACCTAGGTACTTCTGTATTCGTTGATTGTTTTAAAAAGTCGTAATGGAAACATGAATTCGTCATACTCTCAATCCGAACACCGTTTAACTTTATTAGATGCAGAGTTGGGAAAGTGGGACGGATGGAGTTCTTGCTCAGTTACAAGTAGGTGGGGCAGTCGTACTAGGTCGCGTGAATGCCCTGACGTCGTTGCCGCAAATGGTGGCACAGTTTGCAAGGAAGACATGCAGAATGAAAAATGTTTTGTTCTCAGTGGAGAAATAGGTAACGCAGAAAAATATGTTGTTATAATATTATGTATTGTTTTTCCCCAATATATTGTGAAATATACTGTCTATATTCCCTTCTACACTTCGCTTAAAGAGAAAGTCAACTAAGTATATCGGTAGTATATAGCAGTGAGTATATTTTAGCTCTTCGATTAAAGTTGTATATAAATTTAGAATCATTTTCACAAGCACAATAGTTGCAATTCGTCAGATATAAAACAAAAGACCCTATAATTAAAAGAAACCCAAAATTTTCTGCTAAAATCTCTTTATCCTGAGAACTAATACAGTTCTGTTTTCGATGAACGTGTTTTCTCGCGGGTGGGTGGCCCTATTTTGTATGGTGTTTCTTCTAAACTTCTTTATTATTATATTGAAAAAACTTCCGTCTCGTGAACCCCGAAGCATTCGTGCTTGCGTTTTGTATTATTAAGTACCTTTCTATCGGATTATGGTACCACGACTTAAAAATAGCACCAGAGAGAAAATGAGGTTGGTAGGCACCAGTGAGAAAATGCGGTTGACATCGCCAATAACACAACATGCATAAAGTAAATACACACATAAAATTGACAATCGTTAACTGATGTTGTCTCCGTATCCATAGTTATTACACTGTGTGACGTCCCAATAGTAGACAATGGATACTTTGTCGGTTTACGTAGTGACCAGGCCAACGGCTCAATATCTTGTAATGAAGGTTACAGTCCAAAACAACCGAATAGTATGAAATGCGTAAATGGAGATTGGGACACTGCGCCCACTTCGTGTAACCGTAAGTTAATTTCTAATTCGTTGATACATTTATTTATAATCTTGCCCCCGTCAGACTTGCTGACAAAATTAAATTAGCGACGGGTTGTACAATTTTTACTTTCGTTTATTTGGCAATTCTGTCATAGAAATATTTTAAGATTAAGCCAAATTAGTGAATTGTTACTTGTACTTGCTGGTACTGCTAAATGCAGGATTATATTAATTGATATATTTATTAAAATTGAATGTAATTATTTAAAAGTGTTTACAGTAAATATACACAAAATGCTGACAAACAGTAGTTAACGATAGATTCTTCCCCACAGCTATTCCAGAGTGTGACTTCCCAATAGTAGATAACGGATACTTCATCGGGGAACGTAGCCACCTGGCAAGAGGGTGGATATCTTGTAATGAGGGTTATATTCCAACAGAGCCTAATAATATGACTTGCATAAACAGTGAATGGGACACTGCACATGCTTTTTGCAACGGTGAGTTGGTTGATTCATTACTTGTTTCTGTCGGTAGCGTTTAAATGTTGAAAAAAAAAACGTGTTATTTTATATAATCTATCAAGGCTGTGGTTTAGCTAATTCAATATATAGTTAATGTAGCGATTTATGCCATTTGATTGTTGGCACTTATGAGTCAATTTTCGCTCCATTTAAATGTACAATTTTCAACATGTGCATCAGTAAGTAGACATATGTATAACTCATGGTAACTCTTAGTATCCGTCTGTCTATAGCTATTCCACTGTGTGAAATTCCAGTGGTAGACAATGGGAAATTTATCGGAGAACATAGTCACCTGGCAACCGGCTCAATATATTGTAATGGGGGATACAGCCCAACGGAACCAAATATGATGACATGCGTTAACGGGGAATGGGACACGACACCCGCTTTGTGTAACAACGATAGGTTGACTAGTTTTGTCGATAAATCTACCACAACCACACACGCTGAAAAATTTTATTAAAAATGTTGTAAACGTGACTCTCTAATTTGGGAAACTTGTATTTCGATACTTTTATGTGTAGACTATTCGGCGAAAGATCCGACCTTATAATTAGATAATTGAATGATTGGCTAATTCATGCATTGTGCTAAAATCGCTAAAATTACACATAGCTATTTCTGATATGTTGCAGCATAAAATGATAAATACAATAGCAAACAGTAGCTGATATTATTCTCCTGTCTACAGATATTACACTGTGTGAACTTCCAGTAGTAGACAACGGATACTTCATCGGGGGTCGTAGTCACCTGGCAACAGGCTCGATATCTTGCAATGACGGGTACATTGCAACAGAACCGAATAACATGACATGCATAAACAATATTTGGGACACTACACCAGCTTCGTGTAATGGTAAGTTGTTTGATTTGTTAAATGTGTTCCATCGTTATATGTACTCGTTACCAACGGCACACAAGTTGAAGAAAGGTGCTGCATATCGTGTTATTTTAGTTAATTTGTGAAATATATTGGACGATTCAAGGCTTAGCTAATTTATAGCGAGGAGTTTGTGCATGCAATGAGATTGTTTCTATTCGTGCATTTTGGCAAATTCAGTGATTTAAAAATAGCATGTACAAATAGGTCTACACAAAATACTAACAATTACTATGCTCATTGTCGTTGTGTTACATTTCCGTAAACGTGAATCTACACTGTATTAGACAACGTAGTCGCCAGACACGTGGCTCTGAAAGATACATTCCAACAGAACTGAATTTCGTGACATTCAAGAACGAGGAATAGAACAGAGCGCTAAGGCTGACTGATTCCCAATAAACTCTTAATTAATTAATTCTTGTTCGTGCATGTTATTTGGACACACATGACTTAACCTTGGCAACGATATAAATTAATAATAATGCTTTTTAAAGTTGAAAGCTGATAAAAACGCATAGCAAATAAATCATTACATAACGACTAGCAAACATACTTATATGAAAGAAATATAACTAAGCATAATGTGGGGAAGGGTATAGCTACAAACTATATGCCTTTTTGAGTTAAAATTTGTTCTAATTAAAAAACGTTAGGACTGTTTCTAATTTATACTGGTAGTATATTGATGCCCACTTTCCTCAGGTAGTTAACCTCGATCTACGAATAGCAAGACGACAGTATGAAGACAACCTAAGATCCGAGAATCATGGAATGTTTTGACGCACTTTGATGCTAAATATCTCGCGACTTGGTTATTCAAAGCACAAATGCACCGAAATCTTAAACTTATCCGTAGTCAATGTAGCGTGTCGGCAGAGAATCAGCAGCATATATACTTACATATGTCCGCTACGACCGTTATGTTCAATGCTACTTAAACGTGTCTGTGTATAAATTAAAGACAAAATTATTGAGTGCACCACATTCTGAATCATACAATCTTCAACAGCCTCGCACTGTCGCCTACCAGTCAGATGCGATCAAAACCAACCACTAGCAGTTCCTAAAATACGAAAATATTCAAAATTGGCTCCAGCAAAAACAAACCGAATCTACAGCATCGAATACAACACTCAAATCTAAAAGCACTAAGACAGTGTGAGTGAGTAACTATTTCAGATACAAATCAACGCAATCGGTTATTTTGGCGAAAGTTAGTTCAATATCAACTTTCCTTTACTACGGAGCCACAATTGTCTTTTTAAACATTGAAATAACACCACTTGATAACGAAGAAATCACAATCCACAATTTTAGAAATATACTTTTTAAACAATTATAATCTAGTAATTACAAAGTATCCCACAGTCAGTCGCTTCAGATAAAATGACATATACTATAATCAAACCATGCGTGGTGGCACTGTGCATAATAACATCCAAGTTTGATACACATTTGGTGATACATTGCTGCTGTCCCAAAGCCACGTGCAATCATTTCGTCACTGTCAATCGAATTTAATGTGTGCTGTTATGATCAAACTAGCAGCAGTCTTAAAATATATGTTTATCGTTTTACATCGCAGACATTGACGAATGCGCAGGACCTAATGACTGTGTTGTCACATGTGCCAACACAATGGGTTCGTATGAATGTGAATGCCCAGTTGATTGGCATAAGTCAAGTGTTGTCGATTCATGTTACACGTTTCTCAAATTCAAATGGAATTATACGTGGAAGAATGCTCGAACTGCTTGCAGAACAATCGGGAATGGTACAGATCTGGTGGTTCTTGGAACATTGGAGGAAAGACAGGATGTATTAGCAAATGTCATTGTCGGCGACTGTTGGGTTGGTGCGACTGATAATGTAGTAAGTATACCATGAATACCCTGTTAGTGTTACTTTCACTAGCTAGAAGCAGGGAGTTGTATTTCTGATCGTCTCCTTCATTATAGAATTCGGTTATAGCTGTAAAATTACAAAACACTTACAATATTTCCGATATATGCGCCTTCTATAGTCATTATGACTAGTGATGACTGCTTTGCGATGCCATTGTGTCAATATATAATGCCATGATTAAAGTTCATTCTCAAGCAGTAGCAGGCAAAGGTCACACAATGTCAGAAAATACTTGTATGCATGCATCATATAATCACAACTAATACAAATATGCATGCATCATATAATGACAGAAAATACTTGTATGCATATATCATATAATCTCAACTAATACAAATATGCATGCATCATATAATGACAGCAAATACTGGTATGCATGCATCATATAATGACAGAAAATACTGGTATGCATGCATCATATAATAACACAAAATACTGGTATGCATATATCACATAAAAATAGAAAATACTTGTATGCATATATCATATGATGACAGAAAATACTTGTATGCATATATCATATAATGACAGAAATTACTGGTATGCATGCAACATATAATGACAGCAAATACTGGTATGTATATAACATATAATGACAGCAAATACTGGTATGCATATATCATATAATTACAGCCAATACTGGTATGCATGCATCATATAATGACACCAAATACTGGTATGCATATATCATATAATGACAGCAAATACTTGTATGCATATATCATATAATGACAAAATATACTGGTATGCATGCATCATATAATGACAGAAAATACTGGTATGCATATATATATCATATAATGATAGAAAATACTGGTATACATATATTATAATGACAACCAATACTGGTATGCATATATCATATAATGACAGAAAATACTTGCATGCATGCATCATATAATGACAGCAAATACTGGTATGCATGCATCATATAATGACAGCAAATACTGGTATGCATATATCATATAATGAAAGCAAATACTTGTATGCATGCATCATATAATGACAGCAAATACTGGTATGCATGCATCATATAATGACTGCAAATACTGGTATGCATATATCATATAATGACAGCGAATACTGGTATGCATGCATCATATAATGACAGCAAATACTGGTATGCATATATCATATAATGACAGCAAATACTGGTATGCATGCATCATATAATGACAGCACAGCAAATAAATGGTATGCATGCACCATATAATGACAGAAAATACTGGTATGCATAT